GTACAAGGGCAAAGGGAGCAAGCAATGTTGCAGGAATTATCGTGGCATCAACTTGGTGAGTTGTGTGGGCAAGGCGACTGCCCGAATCCTGCTCAACCATTTGGTCAGTCAGGTTGTGGAACCGAAAGTGGCAGAAGAGGAATGGAGATTCCGTTCAGGTCGAAGCACTATAGATATGATGTTCGCGACTCATCAGTTGCACGAGAAGTGCAGAGAGCGACACCAGCCGTTGTACTCGCGTTTTGTTGATTTCACCAAAGCATTTTATACGGTGAACCGTAAGGCATTGTGGCTGGTGTTGGGTAAGTTTGGTTATCCGAGCAAATTTTGTTGAATGTCTGCAGTGTTATGAGAGGGAGAGTGCAGCTGAGTGGACAGACCTCGGATGACTTTGCAGTTGTCTCTGGGGTGAAGCAAGACTGTGTCTTAGCTCGTGCCCTGTTTATTATTTATGTTCATGCCATGATGTATTGTGCTTTTGAAGCCGCTTGTGCTTACGGTGTTCGTGTGAAGCCCCGTAGTGATGATGGATTGCTGAACATCCGTCGTTCTGGTGCGATAACCCTAGTCTATGAGACAACTATCAGTATGCTGCCGTTTGCTGACAACTGTGAGTTGTTTGTACACAGCAAGGATGAGTTGCAGCATATGACTAGTGCTCTGGTTTCGACAGCGGCCAAATTTGGCTTCACCATCAACACAAGCAAAACTGTCTGTCTCTTACAGCCTTCAGCGGAGTTGCAATCTTCAATATTGCCGCGAATCAGCATTGGTGCTGAAGTATTGGAAACCACCTCCCGCTTCTGCTACCTTGGGAGTGTGTTGTCGACTGATCAGCAGATACACATTGAGCTTCGTATCCGTGTGTCGACGGCAGCGGCGGCGTTCGGGAGGCTTGAGTACCGAGTGTGGAACAACCAGCAGCTTACCGTTGTCACAAAGCTGATGGTGTACAAATCCATGGTGTTGTCCGTTCTTTTATACGGTAGTGAAACGTGGACGATGTACCGGCGGGATGTGCGAAATCTCGAGCGGTCCCATCAAAAGTGACTGCGACGGATTCTGCGCATTGGTTGGTACAACATAGTTACGGACACGGAAGTGTTGCGCCGTAGTGGGATGTATGCAGTGGACTGCATACTTTTGCTGAGACACCTTAGGTGGCTCGGTCATGTGTGGCGTAGGGATTCGACGCGGATACCGAAGCAGCTATTATCAGGTCAGTTGAGGTTGAGGAAGCGGCATGTGAGGAAACCGAAGCTTCGTTACCAGGACATGATCAAATTGAACTTATTACATTATTATCTTGATTGCAGGTCGTGGGGAATCGAAAGTGATGGATCGGCGTGCATGGCGCGATCTGATCAAGAAGGCCGTTGCCGAGGTACAAGCGAAACCTCACGTGCATCCAGATAAGCGGTAACTGCGGAAGCGACAGACGCTAATGGGTTGTACCCTATCGAGATCGAGCGCATGGTGCTGTAGCGCAGGCGGTCGCGAGTGCGTGAGTCAGACGGGATAGTGAGCGCTGAGCGAGGCCACTCGGGGCCAATAACAAAACGACGACAAGTCCTGCAGAGAACGTAAGCAGAACCGGCACAGCATTAGTAGGTACGCTGCATTCGATTTACTAACCGCGAGCTTGTGTGATCAGTTTGTTTATTTCAGATGGTGGGTTTCCTATCTTGAGTTAATGCTTACTTTTCTTTTACCTCATTTTAACGTCGACGAAAAGACAGCTGAGAACGCGAACGAACCCGGCGCAGCGTTGGTAGGTACGCTGCATTCGATTTACTAACCGTGAGCTTGCGCGCTGAGTTTCTATATTTCAGGTATTTGGTTTGCTATATATTGTAAATGCTTACTTTGTTAAGTCATTTAGTTGCCTGTCTGGATAAGCTTCTTTTTACTTACACATGTCGCTTAAGCACTGTGGTTAAATTCGTTAACTTTTCGTGTTTGTAACAATTTGAAAAAATAACTTTCTGACATATTGTACTTAGCGCGGATTTGTTGATAACCAATTTATTTCACATGCTCATTTAGTGAAGAGTTAAGTAGGTATATTCATATGCTTTATTCGATAAGTATTACTTGATATTGACAGTTCAAGTACTTGGCTATCATAGGACATCCCCGGTGTGGTTGTGCTTGATGTGCATATTGACAAGGTGCCTACCTGTTTTACACTCTCCACCTCGATTACTAGCTCTAGGAGACTGTGAATCGTTGCTGGGGGGACGGGCTGCACGGTCCCTTTGGCCGTACTAGGCTCGAAGAGTGGTTCCATCTAGTGTGGAGCAGACTACGGCCCAGCCACCGTCTTGTTTGCGCTTAATTCTACAAATACAGTGTGCGTGTTTGCCTGTGAAGGAGCGTGGGCCGGTTCCGTTGATGAAACCTGGCTCCCATCCACCTGCCTCCCGGTCTTATTCCTTCGGGTTTACACTGGATATGGGGTGTGTGGATGGAGCTGCGGGTGCTGCAGCGCAAGCCACTCATGGTTCCTGTGTAGCCACAGCCGTCCTGTGGCTGCCCAATGCAGGTCACAGTGACAGGCAAATCCGGAACCGGACGCCGTCAACCAATATATATATATATATATATATATATATATATATATATATATATATAAACTATTGTTAGTATTAGTCTAGACACCACAGGAGCAATGTTTCCACTAGTCCTTATGATCCTCCAATGAGTCAGGTATGTAATGGTCACACTACTGAAATACGAACTGTAACTGATCAATGCAGCTCGGTATACTCCAGCATTGAACAACAATCCGATGTTACCAAGTAGGGGTAAGGATTACGCAGGCAACATCAGCATGAACTATCACAATAGAGCTTCATTATGAAGTCGTGCTTCACCATCATAAATACAGGGAGAGCCAGGGATAAGAGAGAATATGAAGGGGAACTTAAGATAAAAGCCAGAGATCTTTGGTCAACATTCGCACAACGTGCCCACACCTTCAGGGCGTCGCATGGTGATGGCTGTTGAACAGTGAATAAGCTGAATATATATTCCGCAAAAATGCACCCATTCAGGAATAATGTGCGCGTCTTCGGATAAGCAAACGAGCAGAAAATAGTCGTGCTGTTTGGACGTAAAGCTGTGGCTTGATTCAGTCTTACTAGAACGAGGATAGTAGCTGCCGGAAAAAGGTAACCGGACTGGCAGAAAATCGGCCAAAAGTGCAAAATTAGACTAGGAAAGGAGAACTGATGACTAAAAATGGGCTAATGAACGCAGAGGTTACAGTCTTTATAGATGCTTGTGCAGCATAAATGAACTCGCGGTTCAAAAACGAGATTATGTCTCTTGCCTAACTACGTGACGTTGGCGGTTTGGTATCATTGTGCGACCCATGTGATAAGTTCATTGCGGTTTTTACTGCGTCTTCGAGCACAGATAACTCGGCAACACAAGCATATAAAACGTATGTAGGCCAGATGACGATCATTTACTACGCCAATGCTGCCGGGATGCAGTCCGTGTTCTGATATGATTGGAACAAAGCAGTAGGAAACGTGGACGTCAACCAGATCAAAAAATAAACAGTGCCCATTTAATTGATCAATAAGATGATTCCTGATTGTCCGCGGTTAAAATGCAACGTAACGCATCAGCAGTACATCTTAATGACGCTACGCTGCCACTCGACCACTTGTCGCACGCAGGTAAGGGATACTGCTGGTTAGTATGCATCCACGCAGTCGCAAAGCTTTGACCTTCAGATTACAAGGCAGCAGTAGGCATCAGCAATACGGCGGTACGCAGTACCGACGCTTCGCTGCCGCGCAACCACCAGCAGTCGCGCGTGGGCTAAGGATACTGTCAGAGTCGCCCAGTCCTCTACGCAGGCTCGAAATCAGGCCCTCAGATTATAAGGCAGGCTTGTGATCTTTAAGGCTACGGGCTTTAGATTATAAAACAGGTGTCTCATCCTTTCGGTTACCGGGGAAATGGGAGAATCAAACAGAATGGTAAAACTAAAAAATTAGAAAAGGCTATACTAGTCGGATGGAAGAGTTACAGTGAAGAACGAAGTGATAAACACATCAGCGCCACTTGATCTCACAAGTTATATCAATGACTGTCTTCCCCTCCAGAAACTTAGACCATTCGGCAGAAAGAGGGTCACGCGCATAAATTATGCAATTAACCCAGGTCAATCCAGGTGATCAACGTTGTTCCGAGTACTGAAGCGCTGTGAATCCAAGTGCTGTGGCTGCTGTCATTAGGGTAACAATAGTCAGCTACGATGAGGTAACTACGACACAACGCAAGTCGATTGTATTGAGCATACGGTCATTTTTAAGTATTTGTTATGTGGTTGGATTGTGACGCGCAATCTCAACGTGGACTGTAGTTCGCATTGAAATGAATCTTGGTCAATGCGATCACTAGGACCGTGACCGAATCAGACGGAAACTAGGTGTTGCCAGCCCGGAAACACCGCACACCATGACGCAACTGGACCACATTTGGTCTCAACAAGTGGACATAGCAGGCCACGAAGATTGTGCATATTGGAAAAAAAACTGGATCAAGGGAAAAGAGTGGCAAAGCTAATCTGGCTGGAATGTTAACAGCTAGGTACACGAGAATAAATGTAGAGTGCCGTGGAATCCGCAAATGCACCAAACAAAATCACTAGGTTGTCACAACCGGTCTACCAATCTGATCGGATTTTTCACCATGGCATTACAACATTTAAGCGAAAAGCGTGTTCCGAAGAACGTTCAACATCTTATGAAGGTCCTAACGGAAATTTGATCCTAAATGTGTCAACAGAAATGCGTTCCTGAGAAGCCAAAAATAGGGGAGGAATAAACAACGGAATAATTGGTTAGATAAAAATCAGGCAATCGGGTTAAGTATGGTGAATCCCAAAAAATATGTGTATTAAAACAGGAAGCTGTGGGAGCAAGTATATTTTCCTCTCTCCTAAATAAAAACACAATATGTACAGAGAACACGAGTATGCATTAGGCAACGCGGTCCAGTGGACGATTGAAACCGCCACGACGATTCATATACTGTCGATATTTGCGTTGCTTACTGATGTTTGCGACATAGATTGAGTTACCGATGACGTGCTTTCCCTTAGTGGAATCGAAACCACAAAAACCGAAAAGACGCATCATCTCTTGCTGTTCTTCTGTAAGTGGTTCACCAGAATCTAAGTAAAAGTGATAGATGAGAAAGTCACATAACGTGGCCAACCTACCGTCTAGGGTTTTGGTCACTTCGGGCTCCGGAACTGGAAGAGCTGGTGCCCGAGGGCTGTGTGAGCGAGAACGGGGCAAGGAGTTGGATCGATGGCGATCATGCCGTCTCCGGCGTTCACGATCACGACGACTGCGGTCTTCGCGCTCTAGATCAAGGTCCCCTCTGTCACGTCTGTAAAGTTCGTCCCGGTCGCGATGACCATTTTCTCGATCGTAGTACCCGTCATCTCTGTGCGTAGCGTGCTTACGTTCCCAGGCATACAGATCCCGATGACGATCACGCGAGCGTGAACGAGGTCGTCTATCGTGTTCTGAAAATGAATGGTTGGTCTAAATAGTACGCGTGACGAATAGAACGAGTGGTGCAGCCGCCATTGCACCGGTTGGGTGATAAATGCAAGATGAGTATGAATACAACAGTCATCACATTGCAGCACGCCTGTGAGTGGAAAACAGTGGCGCGGGGTTTCACGTTGTAAAACGCCACGAAGAAACACTAGTATATATAAATGCGCTGTGAAATCACAACATTGGGGAAATGAGACAAGTCTGAGAAACACCACTTGTAATCGGAAAGGCTTCCGACGATTAGCTATAGACCTCAGATGACACGAGGTAGGTAGATATAACGTTCACATATATTGTAAGTATGTTGGGCAAGACTGGGCGATCGACTAAATCGAATGCGCTGTTGAAAGTAAGGAACACAACTATAGTCGGCCTGTGGAATATCTGACGCTGCCATGAAGCCTGCCGAAGGGTGAGCAAACAGTCCCATTACGGCCAAACATCTGTTCACCCTTCCGCCATCGGGAACGCAAGTTCGGTAGTAAGGTGATGAACGAGAGCAAAAGCTAGTAGTTATTTCACTACGGGCGTTAAGTTGACCCCAATGTAGGAAGCTTATAGGTCATGAATGTCCATCTTGAATATTGTCACTGTGATGGACTCGCCGCCGGTCAGTGACCGAAAAGGCAAGGCGTTGGTCTTGCAACTCGGACGCCATCGGTTACAGCCTACGTAGGTGACCTGGCGATCCTCAGTGTCCTCAACGCATGCGCAACTGGCAGTGGTCGCGTGATAGTAAAGCGTCCATAGGTCGTACCAGCATAGTGCTGACGTCTTTTCCTTCGACTCAACTTAGTTGGTTGACATCTTCATCTTTCACGTCCGTTCTGACAGGTGGATCAATTGCCTACAGAAGCCGGTATCACAATCGTTAAATGACGAGGGCGTGGGAAAATCTGGACAAGCATAACGGAGAAAGAAAAAGGCATAAGCCGTAGGCCGGTACGCAGTACTGGCGCTTCGCTGCCGCGCAACCGCCAACAGTCGGGCGTGGGCCAAGGATACTGCGAAGGTCGCCCGGTCCCATACGCAGGTTCGAACCAGCACCCTCGGATTACAAGACAGGATTGTGATACTTAGGACTAGGGGCCGGCACAATCATCACGGAAACGGTTGAGATTAGTGGTCGCGTTTTGAACTTTGGCTTCAGATGGAGCCACAGCCCTAATCGGCCAAGTTGCAACCCGCGCCGTTCGAATGGGAAGTGGTTCAGAAGTAGGAAGCTAATTGAACTGTTCGTGGGTTTGAATTGTAATACGGCACAATAGCTGGGTATTTCTTACCCCCAGTTAATGTACAGAACAAATTTTTCTAAGAGTGCGTCACTAGGACCAGACAGCGCTCTGTATGGTGAACTGCATTGTCGGTGATGCGCATGAGTGTCTCACTGAAGTAATACTTTCCGAGGCAATTGGTTATGATAAGTCAGCAATATGCCCACCGCCTCTGCTTCATTCATTCCCCAAAAGCTCTGCATGCACCAAGGTTCCTTCTCAGCTCGGGGGTTCTTTTGTAACCTTGCCTCGCAGTTCGTCTGGTCGCAATGTACTCAGTTTTAGCATGGGATCACCTTCAGGATTCCATTGAGATGACTGGTAGAAGCTCCAGAGCCAAGCGTGGTAATGGAAATCCCAGTTCACGGGGAATCAGTCTTCCGCGTAAGTAGGTGAAGGCCAAGTGGGCAGGGCATTCTACTATGGTTCTCAGTGTGAGATGAAACAAGTGAGACGCCATCCGAAGGAATAACTTTTCCGAATAAATTTTCTAGAAATGTCAGTAACGTACCAAGATATTTTGAGAAGCGGTGCACGTGTTGCGAGACGAGGCACAATCAAGGATGGAATCACGCTATTCGAAGCTGTTGACCTTGTGGTCTATTTGGATCTATCTCTGTCCACCCGTATGAAAACGCTAACTTGTACATCACTGTCCATTGAGTGTGAAGTGTCGTCGAGAAAAAAAGGAGCCGCGCGCAATTCCAATAAACACTCGCCACGATCTATGAGCCTCGAAGTATACCCGAAAGTGCGACCTAACTGGTTTTCCGAAAAAATGAGATGATTTGTTTGAGCGTTCATATCTATGCAACCGAAGCAGTAATTGAACTGATAGCACTGCGTGGTTGCGACTAAGTTTATGATAAAATGCATCTCCGGTAGGATCAGAACAGAGGTTGACTGAAGATCATTTTCTCTCGTTTTGCAACACTCCGCCTAAATCAACGTGAACGATTCTCGATTGTCGTCTATTCCGGAGGCTTGTTGAAATGAAAGTAACAATTAAAGAATCAATGGAAATGGAGTTACATTTTATATTGTACAATAATACTGCATTTTCCGTTTGAATTTCCTCTGTGCCGATTACATGAATAAGCAGTCTCTGGCGCTACCACGGCTGTTGACGTCGTCAAAATGGCTGCACACTGACTGACTAACGGAAATGTAATCAGCCAGTGACGGTTTAGCTTTGAGTTGATGGCAATGTCCTCTCCAGCTTGTTCTGGAGTTTGATCATCAGAATCTCCCCATGCGCTCAATGGACGACGAGAAACTAGACACAGTTAATTTTTTAACCACGTCAGCGTCACTATGTCTAGTTTCGGAGTAGTGTTTGCCAGCAAATAAAGCATCTGCTGTGTATACAAGTGCAACCCACTGGCCTATCAATCCTGTAAATGAAAGTTAGACGCTGTGGAGGAAGTTCGGTGGTGCAGCTTAACAAGGGGTTTTCGACGGGGCGAGACTAATGTATAGATACGGAAACAAGAGATTCAGTAAAGCTGCGGATACCATTCCTAATTCCAGATACTACAAGAGGTTAGTGGCAGGAGTCATCGCCGGTGCCCTTGCAGTATCGTACTGCCCACATCTTGTGAGGATATACGGTCAGCAACGTCAAAACTCGCCTGCTGATGTATAGAAAGAAACCGTCAGGTGTTGTACTAAAGTGTCTGCAGAATTTTAATCGAGAATGTTGCTTTCTGTATATCTATTGACCAGCTTAATTGTGCGTATTATATGATGTTGCAAGCCTGAAAATGAAAATGAAATGTGTCAGCTTATACGCCGTAACGGCGCTTCGCTGCCGCGCGACCACCAACAGTCGCGCGCGGGCTGAGTATACCGCGAGGACAGTAACGAGTTTGTCTTGTGATCTAGCTGCGCGAGTATGTGCCTGCGTAGGAACAGAGCGACCCACGCAGTATCCTTGGCCCACATGCGACCGGTGGTGGTTGCGCGGCAGCGAAGCGTCGGTACTGCGTACGGCTGATGCCTATGCTGTTGCAGTACCAATTTGTGAAAACTATAAAGCGGTTGAAAAATAGCATCAGTAGTTCGTCAGCACATCAAACCGACGCTTCGTGGCCACGCCGGCCTGTAGCCTTAAGGAGCACAAGTCTGTATTGCAATCCTGAGTTCGTGGGTTCAAAGCTGCTAGGGGACCGTACGACCGTCGCAATATCTTTAGCAAATACGCGACTGGTGATGGTTGCACGGCAGCGAAGTGTCGGTACTGTGTATCGGCTTGATTCATTATACTGCGAAGCCGCCAGTACCTACGCGGATTCGAAACCGCGGCCTGTGTATACAGCAAGAGTGTAGTCTTTCCGGTCACAAGCCGACTAATTGATGGTGGGGCACAAAAGTACGAACGCAGTTAAGAAGGCATCAAAGACGATTCCTATAAGCATCTCTCATCTCTTCTTCGCATGGCAAAAAACACCGATGTTATGATCTACCTGTCTGCGCGATTCCGGTCGAACTGAGTTCGTTACTGGCTAGCTCTGAATCCCAGCCGAAAATCAGAAGTCAACGCTTGGAGGCAAAAGCGTGTTGTGGAACCAGCTACCGAAATGGGTACCAGTAGTGTGAAAACCAGTGAATATTCATTGGCCTACCCAGGAAGGTTCAGGTATCAGAACAGCTAGGTAGGCTGCACTGATTCGCAGTTCAGCTCCGCTATCCAATAGGGTAGGTAGGTGCATCGTGTAGACCTGAATGTTTCTGACGCGAATATTCCCGAAACGTCTTGGTGTTTCTACTGTACATCATAGGTTTGAATCGTTTCCCACCGAATTAATGAGTTTTCCAGGGAGATTTTCTCACCCTGACAACCGACATCGTGATAGTTGCTGGCGACATGAATACTCAAGTGGGTCGTCTTTCAGACTCTGAACAGCACTTGGGAGGGCGCTCCGGAGTCGATGCATGCCGAACAGACAATAATGATCGATTCCTGCAACTGTGTGCCGACCACAACCTTTACCACAGCAGCACCGCTTTCCAGCACAAACCTTCACACCGCGTCACTAAGCGCACACAGAATCACTCCATGACCTGGAAACAAATTGACCAAATTGCCATCAGCTACAGATGGTAGACATCAGTACGACTGTCCGTCAAGTCAGAGCACGTGCCTCGATTCCGACCATGCCCTAGTGCGCATACGTTTGGCGCTCACTCTTCCCGCTTCAAAGAAGCGTCTACCTTCTAACCTTCTTACCTGTAACGCAAACTCACAATCTACAGTTTAACAATATCACGCCGAACTGGCCCACCAATTGTCAGTGGTAAATGAGGTTGGTGAGCCGAACGCTGACTGGAATCGTCTCAAATGTGCCATGAAGAATGGCTTCGACACATGCTGTGCACGCAACTTAAGACGTCGTAACTGCGTATGGATCTCTGAGGCATCGATCGGCTGGATCAAAGCCAGGAAACGAGTTCCAATGGGTACTGAGTTTCAGCGTTTATGTAAATCAATCAGTCAGTTTCTAGCCTCTGCATGGGCCAACAACGGCCATACTTCCTGGGCCGTCACCCTAGATCCGCCCTCAGGCACAGAAATCGAACGGGAGATTTGATGGCTGAAATTGAACAAGGCCACCGGAGCAGATGAGCTTCATCCAGCCCGCTTAAAACTCAGGGACCCTGTTCTTTTGGACGATTTACATAACTTACTACTGAATCAATGAGAGTATGAAACCATCCCAAGAGACTGGAGCCGCTCCGTCAATGTCCCAATTTTCAAAGGGGGCTCGCATTCAAAATGCGGTAATCATACAGGAATCAGTGA